CCTGAGAGAGAGGCTTAGTCCCAGTCACTGAATGGAAGTACGGAAACAGTGTCAAGTATTTATAAAAAGCGAAGTGTGCCTGTGTGGCCACAGCTCCAGATAATAAACCTCGCTGGTTTTAAATGCAGCAGTTATTCCTATTTAAAAAAAGCTTTGGTTCATTGTAGATATAAATAAACTTAAAACAAAGGGGCACATTTAAAAATCAAGGAACTAACTAATTTTATGGTCAAACATCTAAAACTCTGGAAATTGAATTCAGGTTCTACAAACAACCCCATCTCCACTACAACTGAAGCCCTGCCTATGATGTAAGGTGGCAGCTATACCAAATATTTAAAATACTTTTCTACTTCCTGTAAACTCCTCTATGTCTTTGTAGGGTGGGAGAGTTTGTAAATTGTGGAGAACGAGAGGAAGCACTCTCGCCTGCAGTTAGTGCTCATATTGAAAATGGGGTTTGAATGGAGATCTGAACTCAGCATAAATGGAAGGTCCGATGTCAGCCCCGCATGAAAAAGAGCTGCATATGACGAGAATAGTGTTGGTTTTGCTCTCTCTTTAGAGAGGATTGTGGAATGGTAGATAATGCTTAGTGTCAGCTCACACTATGGTGTTCAATCTGAGTATGACCATAACTCTGGGGCACGTGGCTCATATTGGAAACATATAACAGGAATCATGATTGGCTATAGTAACAGGAGTACGAGGCTCCAGGACAGAATTTTTTGTGGAATCCTAACTCTGAATATCCAGATTTTCAAACATTTTGTTCATAAATTGTTATTTCTATTACAGTATTGCCTATCGTGCTAAAGGATCAGGGCCCCAGTCCAAAAGGCACTATACAGCCAAATGACAAAGAAAACAGACTCTGCCCCTCAGCGCTCACACTCTACATGATCGGGTACAACAGGTGGAGAAAATGTTAGACAAACGGGCTGTGTCTACACTGGGCCACTTATTCCGGAAAATCAGCCGCTTTTCCGGAATAAGCTGCGAGCTGTCTACACTGCCCCTTGAATTTCCGGAAAAGCAACGATGCTCTACTGTACAAAACCAGCCGCTATTCCGGAAAAACTATTCTGCTCCCGCTCGGGCATAAGTCCTTATTCCGGAACACTGTTCCGGAAAAGGGCCAGTGTAGACAGCCCAGTAGTCTTTTCCGGAAAAAAGCCCCGATCGCGAAAATGGCCAGTGTAGACACAGCCACGGAGTCAGAATGAACTAGAAGAATGAAGGGACAATAAAAACAATAGAGAATAGTGGGAAAGCAGAAGTGACCCCCTATCACTTGCCTCGCCAATGCCAGGCAGAAGAGATTTTAGGCCTCACTGCAGAGAGAGGATTTTAAAGAGGGATTGAAAAGACATTAGGAGGGGCAGTTCTTTATGAATATTGACAGGTATTTTTTCCATGCATTGGTGAGAGAATTATAACTTTACTTTAATATTTCCTCTGACTCCTGGGCATTTGAATTTTATTACTACCATACATGAGTAGGGTTTTTAGCTGATGTAAAGTGGGACACTGTGCTTCTTGATGGGGTGGCTTAGCTCTACTGTAATACAAATGAACAATAAATAATCCCTGTTTAGAAAGCATATTAAGACAGTGATATGTGAAAACTTTCTGTAGCTATACTACTTCAGGTGCCTAGAACTGGTTTTGCCATCAATTCCAATGTGGGGTAAGAACAAGGACATGTCAGATTTAGAAAAGATCCTGTGACCACCACCACACATGAAATGTATACGCTACCCCAGACACTGGGCCTTTGTTTTGTTTCATTTTTTCTGTGCGTAATATGTGGTGGCCATGAACTCCATAGATGTTGGACTGCTCTCATAAACTCGAGTTTGAAAAGTCTGTAACCTGTGTCTGAGCAGTGATTAAGCTTAATCCAATCCTGTGTGGAGTTTATGAATTCCATGGAGGGCAGTTAAAATGTAAGAAATTACTTCAAAATGAACCCATCAAACTACAGCAAAATAATCAAGGCACCAGTCCTCAATCAGGGCAACAAAGTAAACTGAATTTGGAGTGTCTAGCTGAGCTGTTTCGTGTCTCCAGAAAATGTAAGGAATTCTTTTTGGAAAAGCAAATCTTCTGTTTTTTTGCTTTATTGGCCTCAAGTGGTCGTATCTGATTAACACCTGCCTTACGACTCCCCAGATATTTTGAAAGATATCTCTGGCATAAAAGCACCATGTTTAAGAAATCTCAAGTGAGTCTGTGTAAATTTTGCCAAGCTAGCTTCTTGGAGGCTTGGAGAGATGTCAGAATTAATGGCTTAACAGAAAACCAGTCACAGCCCTAACTATGGAGAGGCTTTCTTCCCATTTTGCTAATGAATGCAGGCTTTCCTGCAGCTTTTCTTCCCTCACACCGTAGCCCTCCTCCATTTAAAATGAAATAGGGCAGTAATAACTGCTGTATTTGGTGCCTTCATAATCTGTAGGGCATTAGCTGTTTCCATATCCTTTATGACCTCATCCTGTTTACAGTTTCGAGGTGGCAGTTGGGAGACACCTCTGTAGCAAGCTGCCTTTCAGTCATTGTGCAGCCATGCTCTTGACTCCAAGGCCTGCAAAGACCATGGGCAGGGGAGGAGAAGATGCAGAACTCGGTCATGTTTAGTAGTAAACAGGCAGTTCCCATCATCCCAAGACTGTAGCACCTCTAGCAGGGTGGATGGTAGTGGTTCCTGTTGCATAGCAGCGGTGCAGCTGGGTCTGGTGTAATAAAACCACCCTGTAAAAGCTTTACTTCAGCCTGTTGGTGTGAAGGCCTGCTGCTGTGTATTTCCCATTCTGCTTTATGCACAGCACTAGAGGTTGAACAGCAGGTGTGTGCGAGCACTGTGCTCTCGCACTCTCAAGCCGAGATTGAGATGGCAGGTCCTGAAAGTGTTGTTGCAGCTGCAGGTCATGTGATGGGCTTAATAGCTTGTGCGTATTGTAACCGAAAAAGCGTCTCAAATACTGACCTTCCAGCCTTTCCCCATCTGTATCTGTTTAACATACAGATGGGGCAAAGCACATTCCAGCTTTGCAGGACCCCTGCTGCCCATGCGGAAGGAAAATACTTTTAACTGGCACATAATGAACCTACCATTCTTGTTTTTCCCTCCACTCCCTACCCCACCAATCAGCGGAAAAAAACCTCTCTGCTTTTCCAAATGCCTTTGAATAGGAATTGTGAGAACTGGGCTAAATCAGTACCCTGTGTGTGGGAAGCCAGGGCAGCATATGTTGGGTGGAATTAGGAATCAGGATCTGAGTGTGTTTTCAGTGCCTGTGTTGGATTTAATGAGCTGTATGATGCTACATCCCTTGCGGCAGTCCCCTTCCTGTCACTACCGTGCTCAATGGCAGTATTAGAGAGGCGGTGGGATGTAGACAACACTGCTTACAGCATATTGGCTTGGATTTGCCTCATCTCATTCCGGTCACCCGCATGAAGTTCTTCCTTCTTTTAAAAATGCAGTAGAAATCAGTAATGGGGCCAGTCACAGAGGTCAAGGGAAATGAGACAGACCAGGTGTGTGAGGGGAGCAAGAAAGAGCTGGATCTATCATTGGAAGGGATGCAGGCTGAATACAAATTATGGCTGGATCTCTGTGGCAGGAAACTAGGGACCCTCTGAAGTCTAGCCCTGTATTGAATTTAATGCAAGTTAGGTGAGTCAGCTGCCATCTGGAACTGAAGAGCATTCCCCAGAGCCACTCTGGCTTTTTTCAGTCAGAGGGCACTTGCGTCTAATGCATTTCAGTTACCCTTGCATGCTTTCTCTCTACATGCATCTTCAGAGGCGTGAAGGACCATTGAGTTGCTTTCCTGCAGACTAGTTTCAAATGGGCATGTGGAAGGACAGACCCAGA